GGTACCACTTAGTGGACCAGGTGGCAAAATAGCAGTTTTAGAATTGAAGAAAACCGGAAGATTACCAGATGGTGTAATGCCAGCATTAGTACATGGTGCCACTGTAATGGATTTTCAGTGGAATCCATTTGATAATCAACGATTAGCTGTTGGTAAAGAAATTATTAATATTATTAAATTATTATGATATTTTATAATAAAAATATTTATTAAAATATTTATTAATGATATCTGTTATTATTACTTATAATAGCATGTGATGATGGAATAATTCGATTATGGGAAATACCAGAATCTGGATTATCAGAACCAACAAATGAACCAAAATATATCATAAAGGCTCATACTGATAAAATATATTTAATTAAATTTCATCCACTAGCATCAGATGTTCTTGCATCAGCATCTTATGATATGACTGTGAAAATTTGGGATTTGACGCTTTTGTCATCTTGTGATACAGCAGTTGCGAAAATAACACTAATGTGTCATACCGATCAAATTTTTAGTCTTGCATGGTCACCATGTGGTCAATATCTTGCAAGTACATGTAAAGATGGGAAATTACGAATTTACAAACCAAGATCTAATGATGTACCAGTTAAAACTGGGAAAGGACCTGTTGGTACTAGAGGTGCACGAGTTATATGGGCATTGAAGGGACAATTTCTTGTTGTATTAGGTTTTGACAAGTACATACAGCATTAAGTACTTATAAAATTTTTTATAATCATTAAACAATAATTTTTTACTATCTATATTTTTTTTTTTTTTTTTAGAGTTTCAGAAAGGCAAATATATGTTTTTAAAACGGATAATCTTAATACACCATTGACAACAGTTGGATTAGATGTGTCGCCTGCAATTTTAATGCCATATTATGATGAAGATAGTTCCACACTTTTCTTAACAGGACGTGTAAGAATATCATTTCTTATTAAGTTATTTGAAATATAACAAAAAATGTTTTTTCATAAAAAATATATTTACAGGGTGATTCTACAATATACGCTTTTGAAGTAACAGAAGAACCTCCATATTGTTGTCCACTTAGTCATCATCGATGTAGTACTTTGCATCAAGGTTTATCGTTTCTTCCTAAGAATAAATGCGATGTTGCTAGTGTAGAATTTGCATCAGCTTTAAGATTAACAAATAATACAATAGAACCCTTGAGTTTTACTGTTCCGCGTATAAAGGTAAATTTGATATAAAATTAAAACTTTTAAAAAAAAAATAAATTAATTAATTTTAATTAATTAATTTAATCTTTCAGAGTGAACTTTTTCAAGATGATTTATTTCCACCAACTAAAATTACATGGAAACCAACTATGACTGCTACTGAATGGTTTAATGGTGCTAACAAGCAAGCTTATAGAATAAGTCTAAAACCACCTGGCATGGACAATTGTAAGTAAAAATTAATAATTTTTTTTTAATGTTATAAGTATTTGTGTTTTATGTATAGTAACTGAAAATCAAGGCCAAGGAATAGTTACAGCACCTATTGTAGTAAAGCAACAATCAACAACACCATTTTCTGTATCTACTCAATCTTTTAATAGACTAGGATGGAATCCTGATGTGAAAGCTAAACAAGAAGAGGTATTTAAATATTCAAAAATAATTCAGTATAAATGAAATGCACCTATAGTATTATTATAAAAAGCATCTATAGTATTATTATTAAATATAAAAATCTTATTTCAATTGCAAATAATTATCATTAATTTTTTAATAATTTTTATTGTAAATAACAAAAAATTATTAGAAGAAAAATTTGTATTAATATCTAATAGATCCAAAAAACTATGAGTAACTTTGTGGGCGATGTAATACAGTGCTCCTTGGAACAAGATCATATGGAAGGTGTAGAGGAACACGAATGGGTAGGTAAATAAAATAATTTTTATAAATAATTTCAAATATATATAATCTTCATACATTCATATATTTATATAATATTATATTCATATATCATATATTTATGATTTAATTATTTTAATTACAGGATGAGTGAAAATTGGTACCAATAGGTAAATAATCATATAAAAATAAAAGGTAAGATGAAATAAATTTAAATATAGCTGTTTAAAATATAACTTATTTGTAAGTTAAAAGTCATAATATAAGCAAAAATATTTCAATAATTAATATCATACATGTTGAGAGATATTTATAATTGCAATAATAGTTTCAAAAAAAATTTTTATTTCTTTTTTATTTTCTTTTTTAGTATTGGATTTATCATATAAATTTAATTTAAAAAATATAAGGGACTGAATATTAAAATATTTTTAACTTTGTTAATATTATTTTTGTGATTTAATTCTTATAATTCAGTAAAAATTCTTGTAAAAAATTTGTAGTCCTTTTTATAAAATTTCTATTAATTGTCATTTTATAATTTTAATATTAAAGATAAATGCATAAAATAAATATTATAAGAATACATTAAAAATTTATATTTATAATTATTCAAAATTTATCAAAATTTGACAATAGTTTTAATTATTTTTACGATTTTGAAATCATTAATATTATTTCAAAATATATTTTTGTGAAAATAAATCTATTGAATAATTTTTTTTTTTATTTTTAAAATTTAAAAATATGCTATTTATAAATTATAATGTCTGGAAATATAGAAAAGTTCAGTGTATTAATTAGAAACAAGTATTGCATAATGCATAAATAAATTTTTAATTTTTTTCACTAATTATTTTTAATAATTTTTTGTAACATAGACATATAAAATCATATTTGTTAAAATCAAAATCATTTGAATAAATATTGTTTGAAAAATTGTTTAATATTTCTAAACAATTATAAATTAATATTATTCAACACTGTTCTTTTCTTTTGTTAAATATAACGATATATAATAATTCATATAATTATTAGTTTTGAAAAAATTATATATGATTTATATAATATAAATATATCGTATCTTTTTTTATTTAATATTATAAATGATATTATTAGTACATATGCTACTATAATGTAATCATCATACGTGTGATACTAGCGAACGATACAAATTTTTTTTCATAAACCGAAGGTCAAAAATTTTTACATAATATCATAATACACACACGCACAAAGATAAATTACATATTAATAAATCGTCATTTAATTAAATCAATACTTACAGCAAAATATATACTCGGTAATAACAAATTATTCAATGATTCTATTGAATATAATTAATAAATAATAAATTAATTTTTATATATTTTCAATTTCAACAAAATATTTGTAAAAAAAAAAAGATCATGATCAAAGATTCGAAATGTATTGTATTTGAAAATAATTTTCCAATTCATTATGCATATATAATTAAAACGTAAAAGCGTAAATTCCATATTTATTCGCAATCAAAAAAAAAGTTTTAGATTATAAAAAATATAAAAATGCCTATTTTCTCTATATAACATATACTGACTTTGTATTTTTTAATAGTCTAATATTAAATAATAAATTAAGAGAATAAATAAAATAATTTATCATTTTTATAAAATATATTCATTTACAATTTTAAATATATTCTCCATTAAATAAGCCATTTTTTATCGCACTAAAATGATATAATCATCTTTAATGATAGTTTCTCATAACTAGAAAAAATATAATAGCGTTCCTATTCGTGTGATTGAAACTTTTATATAAACAATTTTGTATAAATAAAAATAAAGATAAAGATCCCTCCATTTGTAATAATTTTTAAATATGTCTACAAACAAACATGGAATTTACGCTTCCATATAATCACGCACATTTTATACTTTTATATTAATTTTATATTACCGATAATTTAATTAAATATATAAAAAAAAAAATAAATCTGATGGTGCTGTGTTATTTCGACAAATTTTAGTCTATAGTTATCATAAATACAATAATAAAATTGATAAAAAACATGATCATTATTCATTTTGCTCAATGGTTTAAAAACAAATAACATTCCAATTTTGTATTTTATCGCATAAGAATAAATTATAAATAAAATTATCACTCACAAAAAATTGAATAGGTGCCAAAAGTTTCATACAAGAATTAAAAGAAAGAAAAAAATACATGAATTAAGTTCTTTATAATGAACTAAATATATTAAGCATTTAAAAAAAATATATTTTTCTCTGCATTTCTTACATGTATTACATATATTTATACCATTTTTAGAAACATAATGTTTTCTTTCGATCAAAAGTAACAATAAAATTTTTATAAATATCGAAGTGAAAAAAAAGCGAAGAAAAACAAAATAATACTTTGCTGAAAAAAATATATAACAGCTAATCGTCCGCGTAATTCACATTTGTATGTTAAATAATTATAAATAATCAAATATTCTAAAACTAAGAAACATCATTGTTGCATGTTTTATTAACCATATTTTTCTTTACTAGTATACTTTTTAAATTTCTATTTGATAAATAAATTAGAATATGTATACAATTAAAATAGAATATATATACAAAAATTATGTAAAAACAATGTCTCGAAAAATTATTTTTAAAAATTTTTTAAATTTCTAAATTTTTTTCGTAATATTTTAAAATAAAACAATAGATATAATAAAATTACAATAAATGGATAAAATTATCATATCATTGTTAATTTTGATAATTGTTCAATGATTAATACGAATTTTCGTTAACTGCGATTTCTTATTCTAAAAAATTATTTTGATTGCAACAGGAAGTTTCTTGGTAATATTGCGCTATGACTGATCGCTAAGTAATTTTATCATGTAGTAATATACCTTTGTATCGACCTTATACCTCTTACATGTATTTCACTTATAAAATCTTTTTATCAAATATATGTATCTAATGTGTTTTTATAAATTTACCTTCGTATTATTTGTGATTTAATTTTAAAATAAAAAATTATGGATATTTATAATTTATAAAAATTATTAATACAATTCCATTGAACAATACAATTTATAAAACTTAAGGAATTAAATAAGGTTTTATTTAAATTTTATATGAAAAAATAATTTGTTTTTTCTGTTAATGAAAAATGTAACAAAGAAATAATTCACATATAAATAAAAATTTTATGAACAATGTATTTTTATTGAAACTTGTGCAAATTATCTACCATATCCAACTCGATCTCTAGGAATTAATCTTAATTCAGATCCATGTTTAAGAAAAACGTTTCCTGAAATTAATTATATTAATTAATTTTTAATATTAATTTTTAATAAATATTTGAAATATTTCCTATATTTTTCTATAATATAAAAAATTTACCTGCTGTTTGTTGCGGATTGATACCTATTCCATCATCTGTGATTATTGCAGATGTTGATGGAGATACTTTGAATTCTTCTGCAGCAAATTTTAATACAGCAGTAAACGGAGTATTATCTGGTACACTAAGTCTGTAATTATAAATATATAATGCTTATATAATCTTTAAAAATCTAATTTAATTTAGAAATTAAATTAAATATTGACTTTAAAAAATGAGAGTTTATATAAATAATAAATAAAATAAAATAAATAAAAAATAATCAATGTAATTTTATGAACTCTCATTTTTCTTTAATGATTATACAAAGATTGTGCTATTACCATCCAATATCTTTTTCAATTTTTTGCCATATTATACCATTGGGATGTGTTTTTACTAATTTCATTCTGTTGTATATTATGTCTGAAATTTCTGTAGGACCATTTAATAATATTTCTACTATTTTAACAAGATGTTCATATTTAAATTCGTAGTTCGATATCCAATGATTTTCAATCTGTTTCATATGACGTGCAAAATAAAATATACTATCAAGAAAATTTGTATAAAGCTCTGGATTTTTTTGCATAAAATTCCAAAGTAATGTTTGTTTTATATTTATAAAAATTAAACAAAGATTTGCATCATTTTGAATAAGCTTGTTTGATAATAGTTGAACTATTATTTGTTTAATTTTATTGTTGTTATCTAAGTTACCAGCAAATTGAATTAATTTTAAGTAAAAACCATCATCAAACATTTTATGAATACATTGTAAAACTTCATATTCATTACTATTACCAATTAAAAATTCCCAAGACATAATTAAAGCTTCATCTTGTATATTTGAAGCAGAAATGTCCAATTTTTCAAAAGATTCTATAATTATATTTGTACATATTCCATTAATTAATATATGTTTAAGAAAATTATTGAATCTATCATTGCCACAATATTCAATGTACAATTTTAAAAATTCATCTATAATATCAGTTGAAATATTAGTATCTTTCAAATATATTTCTAATAATTTATCACAGGCATATTTCAATTCAGAACATTTATATAAATTTGATCTACCTTCTTTCAACCAATGATTGTGAAGATTATTATCAAGTACATTTTCTTTGCCTATTTCATATGCTTTAGCAATTGTAATTTCAATAAATTGAGCACACTGAAAAATTTTTATAACATTTTCAGTGTTTATTTCTTCGCAAACATTTGGATTCTCTATGAATACAAGAAACGCATTAAACATTTTCAATATTTCGAGAAAATCAAGCTCTGACATGTTCATATTATTTAATGTAGACATAAAATATGTTTTAAAATTTTAATGAAATAATAAATCACATCATAAACTTACACTTTAAAAGGAAGTTTCGGATCAGATGTCAGAGTTATTTTAAAAGTAACTTTAGACCTGCAACAAATTAAAATTCTCATTATTAGTTATTAAATTGAATCATAATCTTTACAAAAACATATGTTTATAGAAAACTGTATACACGCTTCAGAATCATAATAGTTTATATCTAGAATCATATATTTATATCTATTTTTTTGAGGATTTTGTAAATCAAAATACGTACGCCATAATTATATTTATCAATAATTATCAAATAGTATTTTGTCAAAAATACTGGATTATTCATACATATATTTCACTTTAAAAAAAACATTAACCTTAATCAGACGTTGAGCATTTCCTACTATGCAATGTAGACATTCAACTCAATCAAAGTTGCGGAACAAAATGGCTGGTAACGATGTAAAATAAAAAAATAAGAGAGCAATGCATATATTATAATTTCGATAAAGAAATTATTATAATACGTCACATTATAATATGTGATAAATCTCATCTTATAATCACATTTTTAATTAGTATTAATTATAATTTTATTTGGAATTTTATCAAAAGTTTATCATCTCTTAACAAGGGATTTTTTCTTTTTTTTACCATCTTCGTGATTTCATTATAAGCATTTCATCTATATTATCTATATTATTTTTAGTACTTAACTCTTATTAAAAACGCCATTACTGTCATAACCATTTTTTTTTTCTTACTACTTTCCTTTTAAATCTTTCAAATTCTATAAAAAAATATATACTAATCATATATATAATAAAATTAGTAATACTAATACTCACCTTTTTTACATCATTGTCGACCATTTTGTCTCGTATAATGGCAAATCTGACAACTCTGTATTTAACATTTTATATGAAATAAGCGGCATAGAACATATGTGTGTATAATACGTATATGTAAAAATGAGATATTATACCGTTAACAATTTTCTTAAATTTATTAAAAAAAATATTTAAAAAATCTTATTATTTAAATAAATAACTAGTAATTAAAATAATTACAATTTATTTTATTAAAATTTAAAAACTGTATTACATATATTTATAAAAAAATTAACGATTATATTCTAGTCAAAAATTCTCTCATTTCTATATTATATTTTAATACAAAATATATTATATAATATTTATAAATAAATATTTCATATATTTTAATAAATTTAATGAGTTTGAAGAAATTTTAATAAATTTAATGAAACGAAGTATTCAAAACAAAATTAAGAATTAATTTAAAAATATAATGAGTTTAATTCAATTTTTCAATATATTTGATCTTATTAATCATAATAATTTAATAATTAAATAATGAAAATTGAAAGATAAAAATTTTTATAATCAAAATATTTAAATGCATTAAAAATATTCGATTAAAAATGTTATACCTTATGTGCCTATGTTCATTATGATAATATATAATTTTTGCAATTTATGATGTGTATCATGTAATTCAATTTGCGTACTTTACATATATACACATATATATATATATATATAAAAGATACAATTTTTATTATATATATATACATATATATATAATTTCTTTTTAAATATTTTCAATTAAAATATTTTTTGCTCTTATTCTATTTAATAAATTAATACATTATTGTGACTAGTGAACAATTAAAAACATACTATAATGAATACAATTTACATACGTTAAATATTTGATTATAATAATTATATGAAAAAATAGAATTAATCAATGTCAATTAATGGTTATCTTTATTGTTGTGTTTTTTATCAACCAAATAAAAAGTACTCCATGATCAAATTTTTGAGATCGCCACGTTACGGTTTATCGCTTCGTAAGTAGTATGATTGTGCCGTTAATGTTGCATTAGTGTGTTGCACTCCATAGTTTCGGTGCATTAATTTATATCTACGATACAATGCAATAGATAGTAGCGCGTAGAACGCGTTTTAATAAGTTATACATTCATAAAATCTGAGAAAAGTTGATTCTTTTCATATAATTTAAACAATATAGGAGTAAAAAACGAATTATAAAGGTTAGGTACAATTATTAAAGAACAACCAACCGCAAAGTTTCATGCAACTTTGATAAATTAGCTCTCAGCCTTACATACAGAGAATATAGCCAAGTGCAAAATGGATAATAATAAAGTGGAGGATGAAAATCAACGTAATATTAATGATGGGGATTGGATTTGTCCCGATTCTCAGTACGTAGATTTTTTTTAAAGACAACATTATCTTGTATAAAATCAGCCTTTCGTTTTATATTTGAATTTTATATTCAATCATAATATTTATTTTAATTAGTAATACAATTAACTAATAGCATAAATTTTATTATAAATCATGCATTTGGTATATAATGTTATTTTTTAAAAATTTTAGTAAAAATATTAATTAAAAAAAGAATAAATGAATAATATGAATAAATGTATTGTTTATTTAATTAAATTTAATAAATATATTAATATATCAATTATGCTAATAGTTTATTTTTATTATTTATATTACATTTATATTTTATAATATTTGATAAAGAAAATAAAACAAAATGTTTAATTTAAAAAGATTATTCATATAATTTTTAGATTTTAAGATATTAGTGTAAATCTATTAAATGTTAATGTGAAAATAGATAAAGTTATATAAATTTAATGATATATGAGATGTTTTGATAGTTTTAACATTTCAGATGTGCCAATGTAAATTTTGCAAGGAGAAATTCTTGTAATCGATGTGGAAAAGGTATATAAAAATTAATATGGTAATATATAATTTATATATAATTTTCTTTAAAATGATGTTTCATGAATTATATATCTCTGTAATTTTAATATTGCTTTATCAACATATAAAATACATAATAGAATATATTATAGAATACATAAAATATTTCATATAATAATTAACAAGATATTTTTATTCAGACAGGGGAGAATGTCCTAAGAAAAAGAAATTAGGACAAGAAATTGGCAAAGCAGCTGCAGAAAAAAGTAGAGGTTTGTTTAGGTAAATAATAAAAATAATAAAAATATAATACAAAAAGATATTATCCATAAATTATTTTATACATGAAATAAATATTTTAAAAATAATATTCAGAAATAATATAGTAAAAATTTTAATTTAATCAGTTTTATTTAAATTGATATTTTAATTTTAATAATATACAGAGTTGTACAATATATTGTATATCTTTCTTTAACTTCAATATATCTAGTATTCTTATAAAATATGTACAATAAGTAAATACTAGATACAGAGCAAATAAACAATTTTATTTTATGGTATTTTTAGTGCTGATGATTGGCAGTGCAGTAAGTGTGGAAACGTAAATTGGGCTCGACGACAACAATGTAACATGTGTAATGCACCAAAATTTGGAGAAATTGAAGAACGTACGGGATACGGAGGAGGATACAATGATCGAGGAGTTGTTGAATATAAAGAAAGGAGAGACGATGATGACGAATACGATGAATTTGGACGTCGTAGAAAGAAACGAAAAATTGAAAACCGTTCAGATGACGATTCCAAAGATTCTAGGTATAACAGTCCACCACGTAATAAGTCTAAAGATGAAGATGATAGAAACGAAGTAGAAGAAGATCAAAATGTAATTGAATATTCTTTTAGCGAAAATTGAAAATATTATATACGTATAGTATATATATATATATATATATTAAATAAATATATATATTAAATATATATATATATACATATATATATTTAAATTTTAGGATGAAGATGAAGAAGAAGAAGATGATGAAGAAGATGGTGATTTATCTAAATATGATCTTAGTGAATGGGATGACTTTGCAGTTAAGAAAAAGTAAATTTTCACATGATTAATACTTCTGTAGTGAATACAATACATACTGTTAATTTTCAGTACAAATGGGAGCACTGTGTCTTCAGAAGAACAACAATCAAGGTAACAATAACAAATAATGATACAGCTAAAAAACTTAAATCATTCAGTAAATTTTTTCTATTAAATCAATAATAAAAATAATTATGGATAAGAATATTATCATATAATTATTGTAAAAACATTATTTTTATATAAGCATATTTTTTTCGCAGAGACAAAGATGACTGGCGCGATTCGGGAACATCTAGTCAATGAGAATATGTGCAGAAGGAAAGGTTTGACTTAGGTTTCGGGTATAAAATTGGTTGCAACAATGAATCGTAATATTAATCAATGAAATTGTTGAACACTTTTCTCTTAAAATTTCTTAGATACAGTATTATCGTATCCCTTATTGTAAATCAATAAATGTTGAATTGAATAATGGCATAGATGAATGAAGAAATAGATTCAACAAATTTGAAGAAATTCATAATACAATACTTGTTAAATAAATGATTTTTTTACAGGTGAAAGGAAATTTCAAGAATGACAAATTCTCAACAAGAGATATAACACAACGCAACAAATTTAGTGATTTAGTGAGCACCTTTGGATAAAGTGATGAACAATATATACAACTTATTGCAAGGGGAATCGATTATAAATAAGCTTTACATTTCGTGACTGAGCTCATAGCTTCATTTGACTCAATGGATGGAGAGTGAAATGTAGGTTACTTATTTGCGCAATATTGTCCTAAATATTGCATAATAATGTGGAAATTCGTAAAATACTTGGCGCAGGTAGAATATTTCTCTAGTAAATGAAATTAAAACAAAAAACAGAAAAACAGAATGAAATCTGTAATATTGACATAATTTTATGGATGATATGTTACACGACTCGTTGTAAAAACTTTGAATTATGAACATAGATGAAATCTTATTTCTAACTGAAAATATAAAGTCTTCGAGAAAGCTCTCTATCATCATGTCACATATTTAGAAATGTTCTTTATGTTATCACAAAATTCATCATTTTGCGCTAAATCGCTTAAAATATTGCTCAAGCTGCTTCGAAAAAATTTTTTTTTAGTTTATTTTCTCGCTTCGTCTTTCTCTAATTTTCTCATTCATTCTTTTTTTTCTCTTCATGCATAACATCTAACGATTAAATAAACATATTATAGTATTAAAAAATCATTCCTTAATGAATATAGATATGTATTGATGTCTTCAGAAAGAAGAAAAAAGGATACATTTTCTTGTTTGACTATCACAGATCCGAGTAAGTTGGAAGCAGCCTGTTTTTAAATGAAAAAAAAAAATTATGAGCTCATCATATTTAAAAACTTTCATTCAGTTTTCAACGGACAGAAAAAATAGAACGATTAAAAAAAAATTTAATCCGTTTTCAAATAATCACGAAACTAATTATCGATCAATTCTGATACTGACTTCTTGTAAATATCTTTATTTTTCATTTATAATAAAAATCATTCATCAACAACATAATTGTTCTTAGTCAATTATTCTTTTTCTCTTATAATCATTACGCTACGTGGGGTCATGATTATGCACAGTGTTGGTCACGAGGGAATCGGTGAAGGGAATATAAGGGACGGGCAATATTATTTTAAGGAGTATGTTGCAACAGGAATATATATCGTATATATGTACAATTATGAATTTGAGCTTGTTTGACTGCGTTTTTTTTTTTCAATTATTTAGTGATAAAAGGAAGGATAAATTTTTCACCGGCATATTTTTATGTCGTTTCTTCAAATACTTCATTACTTTTCGCACAGTATTTTATCACGAGCAATTCGAATAAAAAGGAAGAGAAGAATCTTTGCCTTTTTTTGTTTACGTTCTTTCTTTCTTATTTTCTGATCCACGAAAATCTCTAGCAACGATCACCGTATATTCCGATCGACGAAATAACGATTACTACGAAGAAATCAGATTTTACATTAGTATTTACATGATTCGCGTAACGCTACGCGATATTTGTAATGTTTCCAATTTACAGAGAATTCTGACGAAAACGATATTTTCTAAGACGATGGAACAGATTTTAGAGACGCGAGAGACATTAAAGACTTTAATGTCATGATTTATGAATAAAACGCTTATCGATATAATAACACATACATAAACAACTTCGTAAATAAAGAATTGAACGAGAATCTCGTTACCACCGCCAGTCATGATAAACCATTTCACAGAAAATGGTACGTCATTAATTATTTTTCATAATTATTCATCACATCAACATAGAATTTTAACAAATTCGACTTCTTTATCCTTTACAAGTTTGCACGCAATAATTTTTTATATAAAGTTTTACATTTTCCGAAAATGCGTGTTCATTTTTATGATAATTTTTATATTTCATTTTATGAAATTGTTCTCAAGATTAATAAACGTAATTGTCAAAAAGGACACAAAAAGGCCACCACAATCATAAATTATCGCCGTCGCGACATTTATCTTCGATCAAGCAGATAACACATTTTATTTCGGCATAAAGAACTGCTGATGCGAATGCGAGTTTGGCGGCGGATGTAAATTAGGATGTGGCGGACCACTACCTCTTGTCCCGGTAGCATAAAGTTGTTGCTGGAAGTTGTGGAATTGTTGAGCATAATTTGGATCCGACATACTTGGTCCAGTACCGACGAAAGGACTATTCTTGAAGTTACTAGTAGCACCACCCATGCTCGGAGGTAATGGCTGAGTTGCATCCGGGGGAGGTCCTAATCCCATGGGACTACCTTTACTGCCAGATACGTACATACCAGGATTTGGTTGACTGGGAACTTGTGATACCATGTCAGGTGGGAAGACTTTATCTGGATCCATTGAACCTCCTGGAAAGACGCCACCACCAACCATATGTTGCATTCGCATTAAATTAGGCTGAGGTCTCATATTGCCAACAGGTCTCATCGAAGGATGTACACCAACAGATGTATTCATCGATTGTCCGTCCATCCTCGGAGAACCTCCCATGCCAGGAAGTCCACCGCTCATGGTTGATGGCATACCACTATGTGGGCCCATGCTATTTGGTACACAACCGTTCGGGAAGTATTGAAGATTTACAGATGGTGTGCCCATCTTTGATTCTAAATTAGATAAGGGATTTGTAAATCGTTGAAGGAAGTCCAAGCTTGGTGGCCCTCTAGGAGTATGACCAACATTAGGCCTAGCCGGTAAATATTGTATCGTGTTCGGAGCACTAGGTTTCACTTGAACGTTCGCTCCATTGTAAGGACTAGGACCTGTTACGTGACCTGTCATTAATCTTGGCGGTGGTGCATGAGGATCGCCACCAGGATACGCACTTGCTGCATTACCTGAATGACTACTCATCATACCGTGTCCCATTATAGGATGACCTATTTTGCTAGGTACACCAGGACTTCCCGTATGCGAAGTTGTCGGACTATAACTCGTTGGTGGTCCCGCGAGACCCATGCACATTCCTCCTACTTCGCTTGGTTCATTGGTTGGACCACCCATATGACAACTTCCATTCATTTCACCGCCTATTTGCATCATATGCATACTATGCGGATTGCCGAATTGCATCATTCCAGTATTTCCAGAATGAATAGGTCCTTCATTACCTAATGAATTACTAGCTGCCGTGTTGGTAAGTTGCTGACTCATCTGGGCTAAGGAAGTTATAGGATCAAAATGATTTGTACTCATTGCGGTTAAACTGCCGAGTCGCCCTCCGATATTGTTGGGATTAAGAGGCACATTGTCTGAAGGTTGACTCACATTAATAGATGGTCTTCCGCAAGGAAAGGGAGCATTTGGACCTCCCAAAGGAGGCACTACTGTTGTATTTCCAGAGTTATTTGGATTTGCAACTGTAGATTGTTGTTGTTGAGAGGGCTGTTGCGGTTGTTGTTGCGTTTGCTGTTGTGATTGTTGTTGTTGAGATTGAGTTTGTTGTTGTTGAGTATCTTTTGTCGATGGCGGTGATGTATCAGGTTTTGTAGTAGGTGATGCTGGTACTGTTCTTGGAGGACCCATACTATCCGGTATATTTGCGTTGTGCGGTGCTGGACTACTTTGTGCACTTGCACTAGACTTATTTCCAGGTTTTCCAGGATCAGCTGGAGTATGTGGAGCACCATTGCCTGGTGTATGCGGAGTATGAGGAGTATGTGGACTGTGTAAAGAACCTGTAAAGCCGCGATTCATATCCATTTGAACTGGACTCGCACCTTCGGATCTAGTAGGAAATTGATTACTATTGTCCAAAGCTCCTGGCAAAATTCTGTTCGGTATCTCTGTATTGCTGGCTGTGTTTCTAAAAAAAAAGTACAGAATGATATGAAATTATATATTTATATTAAGAACTAAATAATCATTAAATATACTTACGTAGATAAATTGCCATCTTTTAAACTTGTATTTGGTTGTTTTTGTATTGTTAGTTCTTGTCCTTCGAAAGTATTAAGATATTGAATCTGCTGAGGACTCGGAACCGGCATCAGATTTGCTTCCTTCACACCTGTTGCATTTACTGCTCCAGTATGTTGCTGCTTTTGCTGGGCTAAGGATTGCAGCGTGCGGCAAAACATACCATCCACTATGTTGTAACATATAACATGATCAATTCACCGCATAATATTTTTAAGCAGTGAACTTTTAAAATATTTTATGTAATAATTAAAATAATCATCGTTACTTAGTTGTTGTATTAAAATCCTTTGAATGCAATTTAATGTCAAATATTATTTAATATATTAAACATATTTTGAAACATATAATCTACAATAAAATGCCTATAATAATAAAATAATTATTTTATTGCTTGATCTTACCATTTGGAGGTTGACTGGTGGGAAAGTCTAAAGAAGAATCTTTTTGAGCAGTCGTTCCACTAGGACTAAGTGTTGAGATATGCGAATGAGAAACAGGCGTTCCTGGATTACTATGATTAAGTCTCGTTGTTGATACAGTTGTTGCATTCCCAACTGTTGGATTTGGAGAGTCTTGACTTGTCGGACTTTGTCCTTGTAAATGGCTAGTTCTCTGATTACTGAGTTGAAATTGTCTATTGCAATCTGCAGGTGAATTTAAAGCTGAACTTGCGCGAGGTGATGGTAGAGACAAATTGCTAGTTGGATTATTAGGTGAAGAAGGATTTGGACTTTGTATCGCAATTGGCACACTCGCAGATCGAGTTGTTTGATGATATGGTGGTGGTGGTCCTTGACTACGTGGAACTCCTACCATATTAGCACCTCGTAATGGAACTCCTGTTCCAGGACTTCCAACACTGGTCTGCAATATAAATAAATATTATATTAAATCGATATATTAATATTTTAAAAATACTTTTAATTGTTTCTTTTAATCATTTTACCTTATTTTTTCCATCAAGAAATTGATGTTGTAATTTATGCCAATCCATAGTTGGAGGACATTGAGTTGGTACAACTGAAGGAACATTTGTTGGAGGACATGTTGATACTGCTGTTCCTTGTGTTGCATCTAGTGTATTAGTAGTTTCTTCTTTATGTTCAGGAAATAACATCATTTGCATTTTCCTAATGGTTGCTAATTGAACCTCTCGATGTTGCCTTTGTTGAGGAGTTAAATTTTCGTCTGGAACTTTGACACCTTGTAAAGATGGCTGTAAACTGCCTGGACCTGGACTAGTAGTACCTCCTAATAAATTAGGACTATGACCCATTGTAGTATTATTTGGAGGTTGAGGATTTGCTGTAATAAAAGACATAGTTCTAATATGAAATATACACAAAAAAATACTATTAAAAAAATGAAAATATTTTTAATTATAATACAAAATGCAAAACTACATATTACCTGAATTACCAGGTGAATTTGGTACAAGGCAAGGCACATCTATATTTGCATCATCTAATGATGGTTCAGAATTGCCAAGAGTATTACCACCATTTAAATTTCTTAGATTAGGTTGTTCATTCCAGAATGGAGGAGCATTAGGATCAAGAGCCGGTAGATCAGGAGGTTGTTCATTTTGAAAATTATTTGTACCTCCTTGGTGAGTTTTTTGTTTCATCATTGCAAGATTGTTTAACCATTGTGCAGGATTTTGACGGAATTGATTTACTTTATTTGGATGTTTCTGAAATAATAATATTGCATTCTATTAATAAACATAAAAATAATGTAAAATTTTTTATAAAATTTAATTACATACTTCTAAATACTTTTTAGTGCCTGGTTGTGCACAATGATAAGCAATAATTGATGGATATTGCCCTTGTAACACTGCATCTGCACCTTTATTTGCTAATGTTGTAGAAAATACAAA